TCGGGTTAGGTTTGATTGGATGGTGGGTTGTCCAAATAATTTTTCTATTTTATTAATATTAAATGATTTAATGATGATTCATCATATTTTTTTCATAAAATATACTCAACATTTTTATCTTTTTAAAAAATTAGATAACCAAATTTTACCGTATTTTAGCATCATTAAATAATTAATGATATTATAAACTAATAAAAATTACCATAAAATACTATTAATAAACTAAAGTTACATGACATAAAATTGTATTAGCATCAAAATAACTAAAGAGTAAAACATTTAAAATTAGTTAAAATATTGATTCACTAAAATAGTAAATGTTAAGAGATTAAAAATTGCAACAACTAAGTTAATATTCACCAAAATCATTAAAATTGAAATAAAAAATGTTTGATTAGTGGGTTGGTGGATTTTTTTTGTTTGAGTCTGATTTTACCTGAAACTCGGTTTTTAATAGGTTTTTTAGTTTTTAAACCCATATCAACCCGATTACCCGACTCAACCCTTTTTTTGTGGGTTTGATCGGGTTTTGTGGGTTAAGTCAACTCATATACACCCCTATCATATGCCATCTATTTTAAACTCACTGACAATCCATCACGTTTAATGACATTTCTCTATATAAAGGTTGTATTCATTGGTGTATCAATGCAGTTCATTACTTATCTAACCCGTGCCTTCGACAATAGGGATACATACATGGAAAATTTTACGTAGATAACCAAAAAATTTAATTTTAATACCAAACTAACCAACCTATCTCCATAATTCTCAATTACCCATGTTTCAAAAAAAATAGACTAAGAGAATTGGCGCCTCCTATATTTTTTATGTTTTTTCACAACTACTTGTGAATTTCTCTGCATATTTGATATTACCTGCGGATTTATCTGGAGACAAGAAAATAAAAAATCTACATGTAAGACCAAATCTGCAGGAAGCTGGAAAAATTAAAAAATGAATATAGGAGTGTTTTCTCTTTAATCCATTTTTTTTGTTTGAAACATGAGTATATTGGGAATCATAGGAAAAGGTTAGATAATTTGTATGAAATATTTGATCGAACTTTAGTATTATCGATAGAGGTTTAGCATGCCGTCGAAGTCTACTCACATGCTGTTATCAAAGGCCTACTACATGTTGTAGTCGAAATGTATTCTAGTATGTAGTTGTCGAATTGGGCTTGTTTGTTATGTCCAATTGTTTAAATTAGCTTGTACCTTAAGTTAGCTTGTAATGGATAATTGTTAAAAAAAACCATTAGTTTAGTATGTTAGGTTTTATTATAAATAACATACTAGCCTCTCATCTTAAGTGTGGAAAATCCTAATTAGGGTGAGAGGGTTATTTGTTATTCTTGAGTACTTGTAATCTGTTTAAAGAGAAAGTAAAGAATAGCAGTTATAATCAATTTTTGTTCTTTCTTCTTCTTGTTTTACCGTTAACCCTAACCCTTGTGTATTTCTTGATCATAAAAAATCGTTTATACTTTATTTCAAGACATCGTTTTTCACAACAATTTGGTATTAAATTTTAAAAACTTGTGTATTTGCATAAAATTTTCACAAAGATCAGGGATCCGTATTTTAGGCAAGAACGGTTATATGGGTCAGAGTCGTCTCAAGTTTTTAGATGACCTGTGTAGATTAGATTAGTCATAGTTTAACAAGGGAAAAATAAATACAGGTCTTATTTAATCACGATTTAACTTGAAAAATATTTTATGAGTCCCTAGTTAGCTATAGTTTAACCTTGAAAATTTTATGATCATGCATGGTAGTTCGTTTTGAACGCCCTTAAAGACGATTTTGATATGAATTACTTATTAGATATTGTTAGGGGTGGAAATAGGATGGACCGAGTTAGGCTTTTCCAAGCTCGAGTCAGTTCTGCTAAAAAATTCAAAGTCTAAGTCTGGCCTGTAGCCTATCATATGCTTATTTTTAGGCCTAAGTCTGGCTTTTTTGAATGTCTGATTGGCCTACTAGCCTATTTAAAAACCTACTTCATTTGGACGTTTATAAATAAGAAATTCAACTAATGTTAAATAGACTAATAAATTAAAAGATCATTGAGACTAAATGGTTGTTTTCATTGTCTCCTTCAAGTTTACCTATTAGCATAAGTTTGGTGATACTATTTGTTGGAGAGAACTTATGGAGAAAAACTTATGACAACAACTTATGACATTGTTTATAATATTTTTTTAACTTATTTTCATAAGTTTTTAAAATAACTAAGTTTTATTTTTGTATTTTAATTCAAAGTACAAAATACAATATAATAATAATAATAAATTTATTGAATTTTTTATAAATAGATCAGTTTAGTAGGTTTAAAAGATTTTTCTTCCGGTCTGTGGCCTAACCTCTTTAGGTAAATAGACTTATAAAAAAATTTAGATTTTTTCTATTTAAAAAAAAAGTCTGGTCTGATCTGAGCTTAAGTAAATTAGGTCGTAGACCTCTGTTAGTTGGTCTACCATATTCTCACTCTTAGGTATTGTGAGGGTAACAAACTTCACAAGAGAATACAGAATTAGGTTAATAAGGTGTATCGTTTTTGCAAAAAAAAAAAAAAAAAAAAATATATATATATATATATATATATATATATATATATATATATATATATATATATATATATATATATATATATATATATATATATATATATATATATATATATATATATATATATATATATATATATATATATATTACAAAAAAAAGTTCAGAGAATATATGATCCTTTTATAATTTTTTTTATAAATTTTAAGCCAAATCGACACAACATTTATTACAAGAATGTTCAGAGAATATATGATCTTTTTATAAAAAAAATTATAAATTTTCAACATTCCTCCGTAATTTTCAATATATTCATGTTTTAAATAATAATAATAAAAAATGGATTAAAAATAATACACAATTAAATTGATGTCTCCTATATTTTTTTTTATAGTTTTTTTCAACTACCTGCAATTTTTTCTGCAAATTTGATGTTACCAGCTACATAGAAAGAAACACCATATCCCTGTTTTATCGTTTGTTTATTTGATATACAACTAACCGTGCACTAAATGACATATATGATATTCAATTTCTAAAATCACTTTTTTATAAAAGAATTACATATATGTTTTTATATGAATTTTAAATCATTTCTAAATTTACTAAATAACTAAATAAATGAAAATACTAAAAAAATTTGAAACTAATGAAATAAAATATACAAGAGCTTACCTGTTATCATTTTCTTTGAAATAAAAATCTCTAGGATAAAAATAATAAAATAAATTTAAATGATTTTTATAAAACTTTATTAACGCTCTTATTTTTAGATAAGGGGAAATGCTCTTATTTTCCACGTCATTTGGCTGGTGTACCTACAAATAGAAAAATAAAGTCGTTTTGATTTTCAAATCTGTTAAAATAACTAAATGCTAAATCATTAAAAGACCTCCTTTGATACGCAATGAACTTTCTAAGAAAAAAAATAACTCAAAAAACAAAATGATAGAATTTGAAAGAACACAATATAAGTAAAAAATAGACTTGGCAGATCCAACATATAACCTACAAGAAAGATCGTCGGTGGTTAGAATAATTCTCAGTCTACACAGATTCTCTAATGACAATCATTAATGTTACTAAAAAATCAATTTTATTTTATTTTTAAAAAAAATCAAGAGTAAATAAGTAGTAATTCTTATTTATGTTTATGAAGATATAACATATATATTATATAAATGACAAAACTATCATCACAAAAAAATAATTTAAAAAACATTAAACTTAATATTTTTTAAACAAATATTCGAATTTCTATAAATTAATTACTAATATAATATCAAATTTATTAACTTTATTTATGGGTAGATCATAATTTACTTTGTAGAGTTAAAGTGTATACGATAACTTTTATGATTAACTAATCATATACTATTATACCATTAGACACTTGATTAACATAGAATATAATATAATTATTTTATCATGTGTTTTATATTGTGAATTAAACAAACTTCTTTTTTTATAATTAATTTTTTGTTTAAGAGGAAAAAAAGAGAATATTTAAGAGTTTACTTGTTATCTTCTCCGAGAGAAAACCTCCTGGATATGCTTAATAATTTTCATCCTAATCCTCGAATTACTTTAGGGATTTTTTTTCTCTATCTTTTGCTTGGAAAAAGACCCTACTTAATGGGATAGTCTCCCCAATAAACCAATAATAATTTTCCCATTTTTTATTATTCTATTATTAAAAAACAGTTACTTTACTTTCAAATTTCTTAGATAAAAACGACCAAAAATAAATAAATATATATAAGAACGTATTTTCTCACAAATCATCCTTATCTCTAAACACAACAACTCTTTTATTAAAAATACAACTAAAACACAACTAGATATACCAGTATAGTACGTTTCAAAAAGAAAAATGTCACCTGAAAAACCAAATATACTAGTAACCTCACTTGACTCATATTAAGTCCAGATACATTTCATAAATAAAAAAGTCTAGATACATAGTACTCCCGCCTACAAATATAACAATTTTAGAAAAACACAAAAAAATGATTGATTTGAAACCACTTAAAGATAAGAACAAACAAAACTAATGCAGTAAATAAATTATAGATATAAACAAAAAACAATGAACTTTTCTTTTATAAAGGAACCCCAATTGAGTCCATAACAAAGGTTTCATCAAATTCAAATTCAAATGAAGAAAACATCACATTACTATTGAAGATATTAATAAGTAATAATAACTGTAAATAAAATTTCCCAACCCCATACTTGAAACAAAAATAATTTACAACCCAAATGAACAAAATAACCCTATATAAAAGAATATAAGTAACCCACCCAATAACTTTCACAATAATGTTATAATCCTTATAATGAATACAAAACACCCTTAGTATTCTTCTTCACCTTGGTATCATTCTCTTTGTCAATGAAGAATTCACACATTTTTCCTTGAAGCCTTTTTTACTCAGAGATGGGTATGGTCTTTGACCTGTAAAGAAGCTTCTTTTTCTTTGATGTTTGGTTATCAATGGTGAGTACAACTTTACCAGGTTCTCCAATTTTGAAGGTGTTGTTAATTACTGTTTCATCAGCTGGTGAGATTTTCCTATTCTTCTGCACAATCACTGTGTATCCATCTTCAGCACTAGGCACAAATTCTGCTCCATAGCTTACATTCCAATCCACAACTCTGATTTCCCATACCAAAGTGCTTTTCTGCACATTCAATCATTCAGATTCAGTCAACATACTAATACTATATGCACATAAGGATTATGATTTTAAATTTCAGTCTACAACAGTAATTGTGTTATTAAGGTTCACGGCGTATGCGTAACAGCAATTTAAAACCATGATAAACTTGGTTATGAAACAAGTTTTTATTCTCACCTCAGAAATTGGGAACTCGACAGCATGTTTTGTTGCTGGTTTGATAATAACCTCTGTAGCAGGGTCAGCAGTGGTGAATTCCTGTTCACCCTCTCTGCTAAGTCCTCCGTATTGAACTGGCACTTGCTCAGGAGCTATATATCTGTTCAGTCAAATATTTATCAATAAGAGCTTACTAAATAACAACATCAATAGATAGATTAATAAGGTATGTTCCCAATGGATCCAAAATTTATCCGCAACTACAATTGCAGCAGTAATATCAAATTTGTATGGCTCTACAACCGAAAGTGCAATAGCAGCCATATCGTCTAAGATTTTAAAAAAGGACTGGAGCCTGAACTATAAACTTGAGGTTTTCAGGTGAGCCTACGCCAATTGCATTTGATCATAACTCTTGCAATACCAAGAATTGCAACATGACCTAACTCCTTGGCATGAGTGGTGTTTGACATCAATTTTTCACAATACCGAGAATAGCAACGCAAAACTACTTTATAGGCAATTTAAAAACTTGTTGGTTGGAAAAAGTGGTGTTTGACATAGTTTTCACAATATTAAGCATGGCAGCACAAAACTACTTATTAGCCAATATGTATGATGTTAACAACTTTCTTCTTACGGGCTAAAAACATGACTTGTATTTACGATTAAGCACTAAAAAAGGAGAAGGAAGGACTTACTTGAAAAGGGTATCAGCAGATTTGGAGGAGCCAGCAAATACAAATTTGCTCTTGGTCCTCTGTGTCAGGAAAGGACTAATCATCCTAGAAAAGGCAAGGTACCACCATGGAACATTGATAAAAATCTACACAAACAGAAACAAACAAACAAACAAACAAAGCACCAAATTAAGCAAAGATATTAGTCACTAAACATGAAAAACTCAACATATTTACAAAAATCACAATAATTGTTAATAACCTGTTTGGCAACAAATTCGGGATAGTTATCTTGAAGCAATTGAAGCGCCTGATTAGTAGCTTGTCTAAGCTCCTTCTTAACAAACCCAGGAGAGTTTTTAAGATCATTAATTTGAACAATAGTGGCGATACCAGATGGTGCAAAGTCGAGTTTTCTAACACTTTTCTCCAAAGACTGAATCCTCCAACGGATAAACTTGTTTCTCTTCTCTTCATCAGAGAAACTTTTTTGATACAATTCCTTGTTCTCAAACTCACCAAAAACATTGTAGTAAACAGGATGACCTTCTTTGTCATAACCATCAGTGAAAACGACTTTGTCCCAATCAGTTCCAAGATCTTCTTGGAGAAGTGCTTCAATTCCAAATTCCTTTGATCAGAGACACAATAAGTTAGTAACTAAATAATAACATCAACTTATTAACAAACTATGATCATGTTATGCTTGAGTTGACTTGTTTGAGCTTATCTAATCGCATAAACACGAAAGACGATTTGAAAGAACTTATGAAAATAGTTGATAATTTATTATCATAAGCTATCCAAAATAGGTTATGAAAACAGCTTATCTTCATAAATTTATCTAAACATAAATCACTTTATCTTCAACTCACTTATAGCTAGAATCAATTTTACATACTCAATTCATTCAAAATCAATTATTTTCACCGCAGAACCAAACACGCGCTTAATAGCTAAGCAATAACAAACTATTAACTCATCAAATTATGTCTATAATTACCTTTCTCCAAAGAACAGTTTGTTTGATCATCGTGAAAGCTTCCTTCACCTTGAAATCCCTTGCACGAAGGAATTTGAGAAGAATCACATCGCTTCGTTCATCAGCTAGCAATGGAATTCCCCATATATCAACTTCTTCTGGTGTAGTAGGAGGAACCTCCACATCAACAGCAACAGGCTGTTCGGCAACAGGTTCTTCGCCATCACCGTTTGTAACTGCAACCGATACTATGCTTTCTTGAATAGCTTCAACCGTTTTCGCACCGTCTTCTTCAGTACTCGAAGCTATTTTCTCAACAACTTCCACCACTGTCTCCTCCACTTTCTTCGCTTCAGGTTCGGTTTTAGCTTCAGTTTCGGTTTTAGGTTCCTCGGAACTTGAAGCTTTTTCTTCTTTCTTTTCAACTTCTCCTTCAACTTTTTTCTCTTCAACTACTGCTTCTTCAACCTTCTTCTCTTCTGCTACTTCTTCGGTTTTCTTTTCTTCTTCGGGTTTTTTGTCGTCTTGTGCGGTTACTTCAGGTGCCTTAGCTGGAGGAGCGGTGAACTCGTGTTTGTTAAGTGCTTCCTGAATAAGCTGTTTGAGTTCATCGAGTGCTTTTTTCTGAAGTTCAGGAAGTTCAGAAACCACGTTGGTTTCTTCCTTGAAAGAAACCGATTGAGAAATTTTGTTCTCAGCGGCGGTCTCGTCAGCAGGCTTAGCGTTCTCCGCCACAGCTTCAGCCGGCTTCTCGGGATCTTCAGTAACAACGACGGTGTCCTTGTCAGTGGAGACATCAGCAGCAGCGGCGGCGACGGCGGCGGTGGTGGTAAGAACTTGTTCAGCGGGTGGTGGATTATCGACGGGAGTTTCAGAGGTGGTTGTGACGACTTCACCGGTTGGTTTTTGGGGTTCTTGAGCCATTAGAGTGAAGTGTGAGGTTGATTAGGGTATTGGAATGAAAGGGAGAAAGGTGGTGGGGAGAAATATAAAAGGGAGAGAGTGAGAGATTGGTTTGTTAGGAGTTGGAGAGAATGGGCTTGGTTGTTGTGTTTTATGTAAAGAGATTATGATGATGATGGGAAGAACCAGTCTGTCTACCAGCAGGTACATCACTTTGTGGGCCCAATTACACCTCTATCTCTTTCTTTCTTTTATTTTCAACTTTTGTTTTTTTACTATATTCACTTCTTCTTTTTCTTTTCTTTATATATTGCTTTGGAAAAAAATTAAACCAAGTCAATCTAATCCAAACCAAATTAATTGGAACCTCATCCGAACAAATTAAATAAAATCAAACATAATCAAAATTACATGTTATTGGTTATTTTAGGAGTGAGTAAGGGACAGATCGGAGATTAAAAAGGGTTATGATTAACCTTGACTCTATCCTAAATTTTGATCGAGTTATTTTAATAATTTTAATTTATATTTAAATTCAAAAAAAATTCAATAATATATAAGTTAGTTTAAACTGGGTTAATGTAAGACGATATCGGGTTGACCCGAAATATATGGAAAAAAATTTAATGACTTAAGAAATTTATTATAGTATTTTAAAAAATTCATTTAAATGAGAAATATAAATGTTCCAAACTGACCCAATGGCTAGACATGGCCCAACCCACTTTTGTTCTCATTATGGCCCAACTATATAAGTCCAACCTCTTCGGGGGAAAGTTTACCTTTCTGCCCCTCCAACAGGGGTGGTTGACCTATTTACCATTGGTCACAGCACTTCTCCCCGTCAGTACCTGCTTGTCACACACGTTTCCACCATCCAGAAACAGTCAAGACGCTTGTGCCCGTAACTACGTCCCTGCCCGTGCCAACGACTAATTATGGGCACGTCTTCCCGTCCCAACGACTATTTCTGTCAGTTACATATTCTTTGAGAAACGGTTATCTCGCCCTGAAAATAGGGACCAATGGTCAAGCGCTAGTGTCATTATAAAAACCCTCTCATTTGAGAGGGTCGGGTATCCAATTTCTCACCATGAAACACACATATTATATACTTGCTCTCTCTCTCTCTCTCTCTCTCTCTCTCTCTCTCTCTCTCTCTCTCTCTCTCTCTCTCTCTCTCTCTCTCTTACTCGTTTTCTTATTTTAGCATCGGGGTGCCTTATAGATACATCCCCTCCTCCTCTTTCACACCCAGCATCGCAGACGTTTGTCTTTGGCCCATCTCAGATTCTGGTCGTTCGGTAAGATTAGTAGTGCCGTCTGTGAGAAACTGTTATCCCCGTCTTTTCTCTCTTCATAGAACATAAGACTAAAACAATTCTTCAAATTTCTGATCATGGCTACCCGTGACAACAATCTTGATGCTCATAACTCTGCTTTCCTCCCCGTCAGCAAGACTGATGTTGAGGAGCCCTCCACCTCTTATGGCGGCGACGTCCTCCAACAAAGGGACAGAGCCACAACTTCTCCATCCCCTGTTCGTGCAGATCACGACGAATCCCCACCTGTCACGCAGCACCTTCCGGTTCCAGTTTCGCCCAACGCCGAACCGACCATGGCAACCCTCCTCGAGGTTCTCAACAAAACCGACCTCCTAATCCTCAACCAGAGCGCGAGGATTGAAGCATTGGAAGAGTCTCGTCGTCCAAGATCCCCTCCACCGAGGAAAGAACGTCAACAACGACGAAGTCCCCCTCCCCGACACGAGAGGAACAATTAAACGCCTCTAGAACCAGAGACCCTGACAGTCCATAAACGCGACCAGATTTCTCCCTAGAACCAGAAGTCCCCGTAACCCAAGAGGACCCGAAGAGGACACCAGGTAGAATCTTAACGTTCGTCACCCAGATCCAAGGGTCGAGCACAAACCCCGTCTCCACGATGATGCCACTGTCCCACCTATAGACGTGACGCCCGCTCCCCCTCTTAGACCAGCAGCAGCGACGACGAGCCTTGCGGCCTGTTGTCCTAGGAAATCATAGCCATGCGCCTCCTAAAGAGACTAGAGAAACCCCCTTCTCTAGGCACATACGACGGAACAACAGACCCTGACGAGCACATCAAAAACATTGATGCGCTGCTCAACTATCGTGGTGTCCGGGGCGCCACCAAGTGCAGGTTATTCCTGACCACACTCAGGAAGGGGGCAATGACCTGGTACAAAGGACTCCTGACGACTCCATCACCTCGTGGAGGAAACTGGGGAGACTCTTCTCCAGACATTTCACGGCTTCCCGCCGACATCCGAAGACTGAAGCCTCCCTCGGGGCCATCATTCAGGGGAGGGACGAACCCCTACGAGTCTACATTGAAAGATTCAATAAGGAGGTCTTCCAAGTCTCCACCACTGATGACATGAAGAGGTTCCTACTAAAGCGCGAGCTCCGTCCCCGCACAAACTTCGCTAAAGTTGTAGGCCTCCGGCCCCCGGCTACATTGGATGCTTTTCTCGTCAAAGCTCAATCGTACACTCAGTATGAGGAAAAAGAGGCTGCCAGCTCGACTTGTGATTCCAGGCACAGGGAGAATGCTCGTCCTTCCAGATCCGACGAGCCCTCAACATCCCGTTGAGGAGATAAAAAATGAAAAGACCATCTCTGCGAGACCTGGGACAATAAGGAACCCTCCGGAAGGTTCCACGAATACACTCCCCTGACAGTCTCGAGGGAGAAGATCCTCACTGAGTGCACCAACTCAGAATTTCACCAGGAAGGAGTCTGGTTCCCAAAGCAAATATTGTCCAAACCCAACATTGATAAGTCCAAATACTGTCGGTTCCACAAGAGTCATGGCCATACGACGGAAGACTACATCCACCTAAAGGATGCCATTGAAATACTTATCAGGGACGGGCATCTTAAGTAGTTCGCCAAGCGAAATGAAGCTCCTCGACCAGACGCCAAGAAGCCCAGAAGGTCGAGGAAGAAGCGTCTTCCTCCGGGGAAACCAGCCTATAGGTCGTCATGAGCGTCTCACGACCCGAAGATTTTTGCATTCCCGAGGGGCTCACCGCCCCTCCATATTTTTCCACACACATCCCGTGGAAGACGGAGGAGGTTTCAATAGAGTGATGGTAGGATCCGTCAAGAGGAAATTTGAGCACCTCCTCAGCAGCAGCTCAAACCGGAACTCCACCCTCGATAGGGTCCAGGGAGAGTCTGTACCCATTTGCTTCTACTGCAAGGAGTGTAACACCCCAAATTTATTTGGAATATTTATTTAATTTATTTAAATAGAAATATTCGTATTTTTGGTGATTTGTGGTGGTTGGTATGAAGTATTGAAAATTATGGATTTTGGGTTATTTTTTTAAATGATAGTATATAATATAAAATATATTGGTATTATTATTAATTTAAATAAATATAAGTTAACTAAGGGAAAATTGGACAATTAAGGAGGAGTTAGTGAGGGTGAAGTTGGAAAGCCCAATTTATATGCCCAAAGTTAGGTTTAACAAAAAGGGATTTTTGAGGGAATTAGGATTCATTCTTGTTAGATCGTGAAAAGAGAAGAAATAGAGGCCAGAGTTCTGGGGAAGAGGATTGAGGCAAAATATTCGTGAGGTTCTAACAAAATCAAGGAGGAGGCTTAGAGTCGGCAATTAAGGTATAGGGAGTATTGCCTTCATTGTTTTCAATGTGTGATTTTCAATGTGTTTAAAGTCGATTTAAGGGTTTAAGGGTAGAAGGTTTTGTGAGCATTTGTATTGTTGTTGCCTTTTAAGGTGTAAGAGTCTTAAGGGATTTGAATTGATGGTCTGATAGGTTCGAGGTCGATTTGGGTTTGAGGGAAAATAGGCCACCGTGGCCAAAATCTGTTGCTGAGGGTTTAACCCTATAGGATAATTAGATAGTGAGTACTCTAATGACCGTGGTGTAGTTGTAATGAAATTATGATGAATTGTTGTTACTCTATGAGTAAAACATAGCCTAATTGAGTTTTAGGATGTTATTTTGATATAAAATCGGGTCTAAGGTGATGGGGGTTAGTGGTATAGACTTTGGAGTGATAATCTGGGGTGAAAGTGCTCTTAAAAAAAGTGATTTTTGGGGTTCGGAACAGTGTGAGTCGGCCGCTAGAACCCCTGGGTCGACCTGAGGTCACTCGAATGCAAAATTGTGGAAATTTTAACAGTATGTGTGGACTCATAGCTCTGTGCATCGACTCATAGCTCAGTGCGTCGACCTTTGAGTCGACTCATAGGTAGAAAAATGCCAAAAACGGTTTTGATCATAACTTTTTAACCGTTAATCCAAATGACAAACTATTTGAAGTGTTGGAAAGCTAATGAACTGGGCTATAACATAGTATAGATAAGGGAATTGGTTTCCCAATATTTTTATATCTAATCATGTTTGAGAATTCAATTGTGTATATGTTTTATTAATGAATTATGTTCTAGTTTAGTGATATCTTGATGTTTTGATGTTGTGATTTTCCTGATGAATTACCATGAGGGTAACTGTGATTCCTATGTGATTAATACATGATTTTATAATGAATTCCCATGAGTAATTATGATGATTTATGATGTTGATTCCATGATTTTTTGATGATTATATGATGACATGATTATTATGATGATTTTGATGAATGATGATGCACCTAATGAGTTTGTTATGAGGATGATATTGACGTGTGCGTCATGCATTCATATGCATCCGGACATCGGTTCAGGACCTTGATTTCTTTGGCTTCATTCCTATTGTGCGAATGTGAGGTATTTTGATGTGCTTCAGTTCTTGTATAGAATTGATCCTATTGATGGGGATCTATGGAAGGTTGATGGCCCAGTGTCCATCGAGCTGTGATGATTGGTACCACATTTATGAGTCTTGTTGCATTTGCATTTTTGAGATAACCTTGAGTAATTTATGGTGTTGTGGCCTTTGATGCCCATTGATAAATATGATGATGCATAATATGACAATGACGCTGTTTTATACATTGATTTC